CTTGTGAAGCAGGGCTTGGTGTATCATTCAAAGTAGTCCTAAACACATGAATATCATTCAAAGTACTAACCCCAGGTCCACAATGAAGTCAGCATGAGTCCAGATATTCCCCAAACTTATCAGTCCTTTGAATGAGATTGAAGTGGATTTAGGTGAACTGGCCTCATCAACTACAATTTGCTTTCTTTTAGGCCTTGCCAATTAAAAAAAAAAAAAAACAGGACACAGCCCCAACATGCAGCTTTTGCTCAAAATAAGTTTGCTTCAGTCTTTGGATCTTTCATCTTCCTGAAAAACCCGTTTTCTCTTAGCTTTACAGAAACAAAAGCTTTGTTTCCTACTTACCTGGCAGAAACTGGATCAACAGTTAAGACCCATCCTTCATATTCATGTTTCTCAATTGCAGCAACTTTCACCATTTTGTTCACATAAGTTTCCCAGTCTAGAGGGCTTTTCCTCTGCCAGTCATTCATATTTCCTACATTCAGAACCTAGAAAATAGCCAGAGCAATTAGCAGAAGCAATGAATCCTTTTGATTTACCCTTCACACCAGAGCAGAGTTTGCCTCCAGGTAAAGATCTTCCATTTGTCTTAAGCACGGCTTGCTTTTTTTAAAAAGCATTCACACAGGTGGTTTGCATATTGCTGCAGTTCTGTAATTTCCCACCCTGTTCATTCATTTTTGAAGGCACACAGCGAAGCCTCAAAAATCACCGTTCTGCTAACTTAACGCTTCCCCCGTGCATTAAACATTCAATGTATTGCTCTGCCCTCTTACAAGACCTCCGGGATCCCTGTCCCTTGAGGGCAGGCGTTTACCGCCTTTGCTCTGCCCGCTGGCACATCCCCCGCGTACAAGCCCCTCCGCTGCCTGTGGATGAGCGTTATCCACCCGGCCCCCGGCTCCATCCTCCCCTCCTACGGCAGGGCGCGCAGCAAGCGCTGTTCCTCCCCTCTGCCCGTACCACCCGCGCTACCGGTGCCGACAGCAAAACCACCCCCGTCTCAGCCTGGGACTGCGCGAGCACTTGGCTCCATCCCGGTATTCCCCCGCGGAAGGGGCTGGGGGAGACGGGGGCAACGCAGCGCAGGGAGGACAAAGGGCTGGAGGAGGCCTCCTCCTT